TGGAGGTCTCACTATGTTGCCTAGACTAGTCTCTCTGCTGGAGTTCAGTGTCACCATCAGAGCTCACTGTGGCCTTGACCTCTGGGCTCAAGTGATCCTCCCACTTCAGCCTTCCGAGTAGCTGGGATTACTGGAGAGTACCACCATGCCTGGCTAACTTTTGTATTCTTGGTAGAGACGGGCTCACCCCATGTTGCCCAGGCTCGTCTCAAACTCCTGAGCAGGTGCTGAGATTACAGATGTGAGCCCCAACCCCGTCGTATATTATTATTAATACAAATAAATGCCACACTCTGACACCCCTGAAGATGCAAGGTGTGATATTCAAGAGCTTCCTAGTCACAACAACTGAGGAAAATTGCTTTATTATCTTTCCTCATCAGGTGTGCAAACAAGCTCTTGGAGGGAAGGCGAGGGGAAAATAAACAGGTGAATATGGTGGGAGGATAGCAGAGCAGGCAGTGGAGAGAGGAGGGGACTGAAGGCTGAGGGAGAAGATGCATGCTTTTGAAAAGGGAAAGAGGCTGGAGCACAGTGGCTCTTGCCTGTAACCCCAGCACCTCGGAAAGTGGAGGCGGAAGGATCACTTGAGCCTAAGAGTTCCAGGCCAGCCTGGGCAACATAGCAAACCCCACCACCTCCACCAAAGATTTTCTTTTTCTTTTTCTTTTTTTGAGACAGAGTCTCACTCTTTCACCCAGGCTGGAGTGCAGTAGCATGATCTCAGCTCACTGCAACCTCCACCTCCTGGGTTCAAGGGATTTTCCTGCCTCAGCCTCCTGAGTAGCTATGGTTACAAGTGTGTACCACCATGTCCAGCTTATTTTTGTATTTTTAGTAGAGACAAGGCTTCACAATATTGGTCAGGCTGCTCTTGAACTCCTGACCTGGTAATCTGCCCGCCTCAGCCTCCCAAAGTGCTGGGATTACAGGCGTGAGCCACTGTGCCCAGCCTGTTTTTCTTTTTCTTTTTCATTGAAACGGAGTCTTGCTCTGTCACCCAGGCTGGAGTGCAGTGGCATAATCTCAGCTCACTGCAACCTCCACCTCCTGGGTTCAAGCGATTCTCCTGCCTCAGCCTCCTGAGTAGCTAGACTACAGGTGCACACCACCGTGTCCAGCTAATTTTTGTATTTTTAGTAGAGACAGGGTTTTGCCACGTTGACCAGGCTGGTCTCAATCTCCTGTCAGGTGATCCACCTGCCTGAGCCTCCCAAAGTGCTGGCGTTACAAGCATGAGCCACCATACCCTGCCTACCAAAGATTTTTTTAATTAAAAAAGAAAATTAGCCAGACATGGTGGCAAGTGTCTATAGTCCTAGCTACTCTGAGGCTGAGGTGAGAGGATTGCTTCAGCCCAGGAGTCCTAGGCTGCAATGAGCTAGGATCGTGGCATTGCATTCCAGCCTGGGCAACAGAATGAGATTCCCATCTCTAACAAAAACTTTTTTGAGATGGAGTCTCACTCTGTCACCCAGGTTGGAGTGCAGTGGCATGATCTCAGCTCACTGCAACCTTCACCTCCTTGGTTCATGAAATTCTCCTGCCTCAGCCTCTCCAGTAGCTGGGACTACAGGCACATGCCACCATGCCTGGCTAATTTTTATATTTTTAGTAGAAATGAGGTTTCACCGTGTTGGTCAGGCTGATCTTGAACTGCTGACCTCGTGATCTGCCCACCTGGTCTCCCAAAGTGCTGGGATTACAGGTGTGAGCCACTGTGCCGAGCCAATTTTTTTTTTCTTTTTAATTGAAACGGAGTCTTGCTCTGTTGCCCAGGTTGGAGTGCAGTGGCAAGATCTTGGCTCACTGTAACCTCCACCTCCCGGGTTCAAGCGATTCTCCTGTGTCAGCCCCCCAAGTAGCTGGGGCTACAGGTATGTGCCACTATGCCCAGCTAATTTTTGTATTTTTAGTAGAGACAGGGTTTTGCCATGTTTGCAAGGCTAGTCTTGAACTCCTGACCTCATGCGATCCACCCATCTCAGCCTCCCAAAGTGCTGGGATTACAGGTGTTTGCCACCTCACCCAGCCTCTAACAGATATTTTTTGTTTTGTTTTGTTTTGTTTTGTTTTTTAAGAAAAGAGAAGGCAGGGCGAGGTGGCTCACGTCTGTGATGAGACCAGCCTGGCAAACATAGTGAAACCCCACCTCTACTGAAAAAAAATACAAAAATTAGCCAGGCGTCGTGGCCAGTGCCTGTAATCCCAGCTACTCGGGAGGATGAGGCAGGAGAATCACTTCAACTCCAGAGGCAGAGGTTGCAGTGAGCCAAGATCACCCCATTGCACTCCAGCCTGGGTGACAGTGCAAGACTTGGTCTGAAAGAAAGAAAAGAAAAGAAAAGAAAAGAAAAGAAAAGAAAAGAAAAGAAAAGAAAA